TGGGATAATCCGTTGCCGGAAGCCAGGAATTGTGGCTAAGATTGAACTACGCATGCCATTTCAACGGCCAATCAGATTCCTCCCTGAAACGGATTATCCCAGAGCCTCGCGTTCCTTCCCGAGGATCGCAGGCTCGGGGAACGAGATTGCGCCCCCTGGTGTTACACACAGTAGACGTAATACATAGTTCTTCCCAAATTAGAACACAAAGGACATTCTAAGCAATATTCATGTATGGTCTAAATATGTAATTTTAAGGACAAATTGCACGGAATTCCATGAAAATACTAACTAAAATAAAAGGGCGTGGGTCATGTTATACTATTCTCCCCTAATGTGGACAAAATTACGTCGCTAAAAATATTAACAAATACAGTACCTTTCTAACATTATAAAAATCTCTGTGAGGCACTTGTTTCATTTCAGCAAGTTCTTTTAGTTCATTGAGAAGGATGTGAAGGTTGTAGCGCGCTTCCAGAAACTTCAGTCGACGAAAGCAAAATGATTTTCTGAGAAGAAAGAAAAACGACTACGTTCAACTCATTCTCCAGGGAAACCCTAAAAATCGGGATTCTCTCCGGAACTAACAGTTACAGTTAGGCTATTAGCCCATGAATAACATACATGCAGGATAACTTGTTGATTATACGCTACACGCACCAATAATTAGCGCAGTATATGTAAACCGAAGGAAGCCAAAAGATTCCTAAGAATATATTGATAGCACTACGACTTGGCACGAGTGATCTCTGGAAAAATTCAAGCAACGTTGACTCCGTTGAGAATAGTGCCTGCCGAGCACAGCAAGGCACAATACAAGAGTTCTAAGCATTCCTATACACATGTTTTAAGTAATTGCTAAAAAAGAAATATTAAAAAATTATATTGGACCACCATTACGAATACTTTTTTCAATTTTGCCACAAGGTGAGGATCAAGTGCACCTTTATACTCAATTGGAGAACAGCACAATTACCTGGGAGAAGAGTCGCCAACACATTTCTCAAATAAGAAAATACACGATTGAATTTGAATTTCCTTTCCCCCATTACAATCAATGAAATAGCATAAAGTACAAGACTTACATAGGTCCATGTGTACAGAGGGCAAGAACAATATTATAATCTGCAAAAAATTCCTGTAAAGTGGGATGCGGATGTCTCTTCAATTTGCCATTTGCTTCAAACAACGTGCTTTCAGGATTTGGTTTATCCGCTCCAGTGATCTGAACTACACCATCAATCATGCCAAACTTGTAACCACAATCTTCTGGAATGTCAATGTCCTTAAAAGGATTCTCGGAAACTTCCAAGGATAAATTGCTTGTTTGTGACAAACCTAAGAAGGACATTATACGTTACAGTTGTTTAGTCTAGCAAATATTTAGCGGACACATGACACTACTTCGTTGCATTCTAATACACGTACGTATGGAGCAAATGCGAAGTGTAAAAGGCAGATGCGGTTAGGGTGCTTCCATGCAGTCATATGTTCCAGTTCAGCCGATCCGCACGTTTCAATGGCATAATTGCTGCCGAAGGCAGCCTCCTATTCTTGACGATGTGTTATAGCGCATTTGAATTTCCCGCCAAATGAAGTATCGCGTTTACTTGTGTCCAGTCTCTTTGCCCGAGCTATGTATTGTCGAGATCTCGATTTTGTGTCTGTCTGTCTGTATGTATGTAAAGATGTCGTAATTCCGGGGAAATAATTAAGGCTTCAGGAAGTTTTTTTAAACGAGGGGGGCGGTCAAACTTTATTTTGTATTGCACACGGAGCAAGTTCTTCTCAAGGACAGTTACGAACCAATATTTACATTTTCATGATAAAAAACATGGACAATATTTTCAATAATTCAGGTAAGGATAGCTTTATTTCTTTTTGGTAATATACATGAAGGCATTTACAGTATATTTAGAACACTGTGATATTTCATGAATTTAGATTCAGCATGAATTTCAGAATTTACCCTGCGGCTGCACCGTCTGTCACTGATCGTCTTTATAGTTAAATATACAAGTAGTCAAAATCTGTTTTTAGTTTATTTGTTTGTGTGGTTATTTCCAAAGGCGATGAGTTTATAGTGTTTATTCGACATGTTTATACAATGTGCTTTCAGCACGTTTTAAAAGCAAACGTGGAATGTTGTGTAGCAGGGCTTATAATCAGGCTTTAGTTAATATTTAATATAAAGATATCCCTATAGCAATCCAGTGTGGTATATAAGGAGGGGTGGC